TGCACATCATGGTGCCTCCAGCACCATATCTGCCTGCACACTGCCATGCTTTCTACCATGATGATAATGGACTAAACTTTTGAAGATGTAAGCCAGCTGCAATTAAATGTTTCCCATTATAAGAGTTGCCTTGGTCATGTATCTCTTCACAGAAGTGGAAACCCTAACTGAGACAACATTCATTGTAGAAAATACTCTGTTCGGAGCCTGAGAGATACTTGGAAATGAGTTCTCATATAACAACTGATAAGACATGTAACAGCTCCTACTGTTGTGTAAAGTAGCTCAGTTTATACAGTTTAATTGTGTGTTTGTAGCAGTTTACTCACGTGCTGTTACTAGCTTCAGAGCTCTCTGCTCCCACCCTCTTTTGACTGTCCTAAGTTTTCTTGACACTTTGTGGCTTAACCCAGCTGGTCTCTGTGTTCTGCTGTCCTTAACTCTGGGTAAGGGTTATAGCATTGCAGGGGCCTGAACTGGCCATGTATGCTTTTTGAAGCCCTGGGGTTAGAATTACATCAAATTTCACAGCGCCTACAGTAAGGTATTTACTCTTCACTTCAGGATCTTTATATTGGTCAACAGGAAATCTTTTTCTGTAGAACTTCCCAGGATATTTAATCCCAACTCTTCTTGTTGGACTTAATCAGAGTAGGATGTCCACCCTCAAACTACAAACCAACAAGCTTGCTTTTCAGTCTAGATCAGTGCTTTCTTCATTTTTTGTTTCATGGAAGAATATCAGCCCTGTCCGAGGCTTGACCAACTTAACCAGATTCAGCTAACAACCTCGTCCTATGGCCTTGGGTTCATTTTGGTTTCATCCTTAGGAAACATTTATTTTTGAGAATTAGGGAGTAGCTGAAGATTATGCTGCTCCTTTGCCCTTCCTAGAAACTCCTGACATTTATTTGTCCCTGGATTCAGCCAGATCACACCAAAGAGGAATTCCTGCTTAAATTTTCCTGGCCCAGTGTTTACTGTCTTTCTTGGATTCCAGCTGCCTTTCAGTGGTGCGCAGCCCTCAGCCCACAGATCCTTACTATGTGGCACACAGATGTCTTCTCTTAGCCTTTTCAGTCAGGGACCTAGTTCCAACAGTCCCCAGGAGAAATGCCACCCAGCTACAGTGCAAGAATAGATGTTCTCACCTGAGCAGTTGATACACTGTGATCCTGTACAGCATACAAAACGGTCTAGACAACAAGGAATCCATGTAGCACAGCAGCCGTGAGGCTGGGGCAGATAGCCTCAATTTTGTGTTGTCAGCAAGCCTGTTTTTACCTTACTATATATAGTTCCACTGTTTTCTGTTTTTGTTTTTTATATGTCCTTATTTACTTTTGATTAACTAAGTTTTGTTAAGCTACTTTAATTGCTGGAAAAAATAAAAATGACACTGAAAATCATTATTGTTGTTGTTGTTATTATTATTATTATTTTGAGAATTTTGAGGGTCAGAATTATACAGCTGTTTTAAGCATCTGGCGTGTGTCCTGTGCAGTTGTCATCAATCCATGCTTGTAAAATCTCTTGTCACCTCGGCATCCCTACGAACTGGAGTTGTGCTGGTGTGTGGCACACACCCAGTGAACATCCCGAGCCATTTGAACAAACAGGACCTGCCATTCTTGAACGTCACGCCCATCACAGCCAGCAGACACTCAGAAGCAAAGTGAAGGCCTGGTGTTCCTGACTTCACAGGAGTCAGCCTTGGGGACTCTGCAGGCGCCTCTGACACTCTCCTTCTCTCTCTCTGCAGACTCACATTTCAAGACTCCCTCCTGGTGCTGTGGCCGGACAGTCGGTTGCAATCGAAGGTGGAGTTTGCCGCCTGGAGAGCCCCCTGCACTGACTCCAGGCTGAATGGGAAGTGTGTCAGAAGCCCCTCAGAACCTTACCTCTGGGCTGTTTAATTGAAGTTGGGCATTTTATCTTCCTTGTTGTGTGATTCTTATTGCTTGGGACACAAGTGCTGCTATGCTTAGTGCTAGTTGACACTGAGTCTCCGATGGGTGACTGGGAGCATGTGTGGGTGCGTGTCTGTGTCCAGTGTGTGCTTGCTTCTCCCTGACGGGATAGTATCTCCTCAAGTGTAACCTATGAACAAGAATGATCATACCTTTTCTTTAAAAATGTGTGCTTTAACTGTTTACAAGTAAAACCTAAAGTGGTGGAAAACTTTTATTTCATAAAGAGGTACCAACTATGGTTGATACAATGTGTCTGAACTGAAGAGTGAATCTGCTTGTTTAAATGACTTGACCTTGATTGTGGTCCATTTAATAACAGTAATCAGTAATATTGTGTCAGTTTAAGTGGATGGTTTGGTAACTTAAACTGTTTTTTCTCATCCCTCATACAGGGCATATTTTCTTGAACAAAGAATGGTTTCAGTGAAACAGTCTAGCAGAGAATTAAAGTCAAAACCTTTTAAAGTAATAGTCTTATTGCTAAAGTTTGTACTTCTTCCCTGAGGTATTTGAAGCTTAAGTATTGTATAGCTTTGCGCTGTGTGTACTATATTATGAAAGAATATGTAAAGAGAGTGTTCAGTAATGCACAGTTTTAATTTGTGTATAATGGAATGTTATTTACAATGTAACACTGTAAATAAGAAATCAAAGTTTATGGGAAAATTCAATATTATCTTTGTTTCATGTTTAAATATATTTTTAAGATAAAGGTACAAAATAAAAGAAGCATATTACTGCGTATAGTGTATGGCTGCTTGTCTCAGACTGATCTTTTGAATCCTAGACTGGTAACTTGTGTCTTACTTTCTTTGCAGAAAACTTCTTCCAGAATTATACCATTGCCTGTCTTGCTAGCCTTGCTTCATGGAGATATAGCTATCACTAACAAGATGGAAGGCAAACCTAAAGTGATTGAAGTCTCAGTATAGAAACACCTACAATTTTTCCATTGCAACTTGATAAAAATAACAAAGGGAGTGAGCAGGAACACTTTGCTTTAAAAGTTGTAGTGGCAGCTGAAAGCTCGGTGTGGTGGTTGATAAATTGCTCTAAATGTTCTATTTAGGGATTCTGGAGCCACATAAGAAAACCCAGGCTTTCCTTTTAATTTTTTTTAAGTGTAAGAAGTAGTTATCAAGAAGATACTAAAGATAGACTCGCTCAAGGGGAGGAAGTTTCCCTGAAACATATAATCATGGCTCCGGGCGGCAGCTGATAAAGCCTCGGATGAAATTATACACTTGACATGGATGTATGGCCAAATTATAAAGGAAAGGCAACCAAAATGAAGAGGGTGTAAATATGAATGATCTGAGAGTGGCTGATTTATATTCCATGTACAGGCAATTAACATTTGTCTCGCTGTGTTCTCGTAGACAGGATGGTGCCATAGTATCTGTTTCTCATTCTTAATGAGGCTGAGAACCTAAGAGATGGACTGGCTGCTGGTGAGCCTTTGGTTTCAAAAGCTTTCAAAGACCTATTACCTGGTGGTAGAGTGGTTTTTTTGTTTTGTTTTGTTTTGGAGCTGGACTGGATCACATAAAACTATCAGGACATTTGGAGTCTGAAAATCATCTGTCCTATTTCACCAAGAATGCCAGTTCTTTCATCTCCTCCTGACTTATTCTAGTCGTATTTAAAAGTCTGAGTTTGCTTAAGACTCCTTCTATGAAGAGTTTAAAAATCGGATAGCAAAATAGGACACCATTCCTTCTGTCCTTCATGAACAGTCTGTCAAGACTATTCTCCAGTAATGTAAATACTTCTTTGTAAAGATATTGTGGCATTTGCAGCAGAGACACTGCTATACAGAATCAGGGGGGCAAAAACAGAGTGTATTTACAAATTCTTCCATTGTACAGTAATGTTCAGTTTAAGGTACTGAACCCAACAGATATCAATAAATATAAAATAGTCATTATACAAGAGTAGGAAAGGTAGAAGCAAATAAGAAGACAATTGTTCTTCAGCTCACATCACCCAGGCTTTCACACTGTTTTTAAGAAGTCCACTTTGGATGTGGATGACCTTGACATATGCCTGTATTCAGTCTTCTCCGGAGCCAAGAAATAGATGCTTTACTCTCCTGGTACAATAAAACCTAGTCTGGGGTCCTTAAGGACGTCGCTGTAACTCTACCCTCAGTCTAAAAGTGGGATATCTGCAGGGCTTGGTGGGAGCCAGGCTGTGGGCTCTCCTCAGGCAAGAGGCACCCTGTGCTCTCCAGAACATTGGTGACCATGTGACTTTGTCATGCTCGCTTGTCTCCTCCATGGGGCTGCCTGTGGCAGGTTCCATTTCTTCTTACATCTTTACTTCTAAACTTGACCTTGACCTGTGATAGCTTCCTATTTGCCTGGTGGAATTATATCTACAGTATGCATAAATAAATCCCAACTGTTAATTTACTTTTTTAAAAATTCTCTTTAGGAGCAAATTGTTTGTTTTGGTTTATTGATATAGGGCATCTCCTGGGCCTGCTCATAATCCCTATGATGTGATTGCTCTTTTGACACAGTGTGTGAAGGGGAAGGTCATCCTTGTTTTGTTCCTGATTTTAGTGGATGTGCTTTTTTTTCTGTGTTTCAGATGAGGAGTTTCTTTAAATTGCGTTTAGTGTGTTGGGAAATGTCCATTGCATTCCTGTTTTCTCCAAAACTTCTGTTAAAAATGAATGTTGGATTTGTTGAAGACCTTCTCTGCAGCTGTAAAGATGTGTTTGTACAGAAGATTAGTCATTAGTTTACAAATGTTGAATCATCCCTGCCTCTCTGGAATGAAGTTGACTTGATCACAATAGATAATTTTCTTGATGTGTTCTTGAATTTTTCTGCTAGTTTTTTTTTTTTTTTTTAATTCTAGAAGTGTGTGCTTTACAAATGAACCACAGCTAAGCACACATAGTAGTCACTGATTCCTGATGACTTTTGGTTTTATCCTCGTAGATTAACACAATTCAGCCCTCCTCAGAGAAGCTTCTGTTAGCAGTACATGGTGAGCTGCACAGATTCACAACCAGCTGAGGCGCAGAGCACGAAACTCCGGCATGCTCAGCCCAGATGGGAAATCCCAGAGAGACCATTCATTGGCTTTGTCTTTCTACTGCTTTTTTTGGTGTGCCCCAAACAACTAATGGTACATACCAACACTTCGGTGCCAGAGGCTATTTCTGGGAAGCATGATGCTTGTCCTGTTTCTGTAAGCAACAGGCCATAGGTATCAGAAAATGAGCACATCTCCAAAGCAACTCCAGGTGTGCCATCAAAGTTGAGGATAGACCTCTGAGTCAGTTGGCAGCCCTGTACTGCTGACATGGGGACAGGAGATGGTTGGTGTGTGGACTCTGAAGAGCAGCTTACCCAGGGCTTCTTCAAGGCATGTGGGCATCTCAGGACAGACCTAGAATTGCATCAGCACAAGTTGGAGGAAAGTTTACCCAAAGGAGCATTATTACTTTAAGGAGCCTTAGAGCCCAAACTGGTTGTGGAGTCCTATGCCATGAATGCTGCTTCATGATGATCATATAGTAGTCATTAAAAGATGGCATCTTTCAAGCTGGGTGTGCTGGCATATGCCTCTGTGCTCAGCAGTCAGCAAGTGAGAGACTAAGGCAGGGTATCCAGAGTCTTCAGTTCAGCCATAGCTACATTGGGGGACCTTCTAAGGAGGTGTGAGGGAAGTTGTTCTTGGGTGGAAGACCTTGAAAGGCCATCCAGGTGAAGCTGTTCTCTTCCTAGGAATACTGGCACAAGAGAAGGCTGAGCCCAGAAGTAAACACTTGTGTGTTTATAAACCTTTTGTAGAATTCTATTGAACAGTGGAAAAGCCTGGTTGGGTAGATGTCATGGGCTCTTAGTAGGAATGGTAGATTGGCAATGTAAAATTATTCCTTTTAAATTCACACTTGTTCTGGGACACGACAAATTCCTAAGAAATGTACAGCCTTGCCTCAACATAGGTTGGGTTCAGGTCTGCAAGATATGAGCCCAGATGTATATGGTCAGAGAGACCCATCAGCTGACCAGACTGACCATGCAACTTCTCTTTTCTCACAAGCTGCTGTCCAAAGGAAGAATTGAATCCAACCTTGGGCAGAGCTTCTCTCCAAGGAGCCCACTCAGCTTCAGATGCCAATCAGCCAAGCCCTGGGTGGTTTACCAGGACTAGTTGTGGAAAGTGTGGAGGGAATGTGAGCTCAGTGGTTCCTGCTTTACATGATGCTATTACCAAAGCCCTCAAACCACAGCAGGCAAAACCAGGGGCAAGCAGGAGATTCCATGCCATGCACAGCCATATGGGTTCCTCTGATTAACAACAAGGAGAAAAACTGAAAAAAAAAAAAAATCCCCTTAACTTCTGCTGTTATAACAGCATCCAAATACTAACTCACCGAGTTGCCTCTTTAAACCTTGGGAAAACCATCAGTACTTAAGAGATAGAGGATTTATTAAGAAAAACTTGGTATTCGCCCATCTCATGTAGAAGTATAAGATTTTAATTTCTCCCCCTAACTTACTGAACATGCCTTCCTGTCTAGTTAATGCTAATTCCGTCCTCTAATTGCCCAGGCTGAAACTCTTGCATCATATAGTTGATGGTCCCATGTTGAGTAAGTCACCATAGTCTGTAAAAGCCAGCTTTAAACTATTTGCTCCCAGTTCTGCAACTGGGTTTGGCTTCCCTTCGTGTATTTTCTGCTGTTCTCAATGACAGTCCCTGACATGCTATAGTCTGTTGGAGGGTGACATAGAGGCTGGTGTTTCACTCTTCCTACATGGCCAGGCTTCTCTTTGTAATCTGTCCATGCCACCTGCTTGAAAGATGGCATCACAGGGCTTCCAAAAGCACAAAAGTAGAAGTTACTTAAGTCCAAGGTGTGCGCCCCCACTGGCCCCGCATCACAGGTTGCCTGTGACAGCCCAGGTTCACAAGAAAGGGACTGGAGAAGGGCATTAATAGCAGAAGCCAAGTTCACCTTTCCTGTTGCACAGTCAGTCCACCAGTGGGCCCCACTGGCTCCTCCTTAAAGTGCATCCCATCCACATACCATCTCTACAGATAACCATCAAGAGCATCTGTTTGCCAGAGCAATTACAGTGGGCTCCTCATTGGCCTTCCTGCTGCCATCCTTTCTCCAACAGTCACATGTCTGCTGGAACCTAAAGCAGTAAGATCATGGTATACCTTTGTTCAGAATTTTCATTGTACTTTTCTCAGGCCTTCAAAATCCTGGGATTTGCTTCTCCTTGTTCTATGATGTGTTTCCTTCTGTTCCTGGCCTTCTTGCTGTTCCTTGCAGCATGGCAGAATCATTACATGTGATTGTGCTCTACTTAGAAAATACTTACTTTTGAGTCAGGGTCTTCCTACAATAGCCTAGGCTGACCTCCAACTTGTGACCTTCCTGCCTCAGCTCCCAGTATGCTAAGATTACAAAAAGTGTTGCAGATGATTCCACATGGTCTGCTTGTGCATCTCAAGTCTTTGCTGGATATCACTGTATGTGGTACTTTTCTCATTCTGTTACAAAGTAAGTACTTGAGAAGAAGCGACTTCAGGGAGCAAGGGTGTGACACTCATAATGACTGTCAACTTCGCAGGGTCTAGAATCAACTAGTACATTGGCCTCTGCACTTGCTTTTAAGGGATTATCCGTGTCAGGTTATCCTGTGGAGCAGCAACCTAGACTAGATTAACTGAGGTAGGAAGATCCCCTTAACTATGAGCCT